TTTATTAGATTCAAAATGTTAAATCTCTTCTTTGCCATTTCGCACATTCAAGTAGAAATTCGCAGTATTAACCCAAAGCATGTATAACCTTTAAAAAGCAAAGCTGGTGTATTAAATTGTGAAGAAATCGTAACCATAATCGAAATTAAACGATCTAAAAATATTATTATGTGGGATGCAAACCTGCGATCATATGAAAATCGTACGCAGAATCGTTTTGCGTAAAGGCAGAGTCCGATTCTGTATTTAGGCACTGAACAAAGTGAATAATTTAGTTCCGTAAAATCTAGGCGACCTTGGGGACAGTGCTTTCGTTAGTCTCACTCCGAGCCCAATCACGATCATTGAATCTGATTTCGAAAAACAATGTATTATAAATTTGACTACCAGGCCGTATGCAATGCCTGTTTAATCAATACGCTGATTACGGCATAGTTATTCAATATAAAGGACACTTTATTGCCGTTGCCTTTCCGTTTGAACTCGTTATTGCGTACAGGGTGGAACAAAATTAACGTGATTCGACTTCTAATATCGATTAATTTATTAATTAATTCATTAGAACAATGCCGGGTATCAGTTATTCAATTTTTTCAATCGTTAGTCTGGGTGTTCGGGTGGCTCCTTCGCAGGAAAAATATCACCCATCTTCACTAGCATTTCGGCCATTTTGACGTGCTTTTCTCTTATAATACAATTTGGAATATTGGTTCCATGTGGAATTTGTGCAATTAGAGGAAGTCTTTGCACCTATCGAAAATTTTATATATGCATCATTCCTTTGTAGTTCTTTATTTCCTACAAGCACTGCATTCCACGAAATAATAAAAAACCTATTTATCATTGGAGGATCCACAAGACTTTTGCACACCATAAGAGACAAATAAAACATCGATAATAAAATACGGTTGGTATAGCATGTGGTTTAACGAATTAGAAATAGAAAAATAAAATATTTTGAAAAATTAAAAATATTGGATTAAAGTTCACTTATTTGCGAGGTTTACATAAGTATTGGTAATATAGCACGGCTTTCCTAGAACTCATTTTTTTTATAGAAAAGTAGATAATTCCGTTTGAAATAATTGACAGAATTGGAAATATATATTTTTTTAAAAACCAAAAAAAAATGATTTACTAGAAAAATACGCTATATAAATTGTCCAAGGTAGTTTCGATATAACATTTCTTAGAGATCTTTGTTTAGCTTGTTATAATATACCGGAGCAATAGCTTATAGGAGTTAGGAGTGTTAACATATTTTGGTTGATTTATATTAGTTTTTGAAAATGTACAAGCAATTGGCCACGTAATAGAATTATTCGCAAAAATGATAGTTAATAAACAAAGGTTGTGACTCCATGTTTTGCTTTTAATTGGTACAGTTTAACGGCGAAAAGAAGCAAGATTAAATTGACTAACAATGTTGACAAAAGCCCACAGCTTGAATGGGGGTCTGAGTAACATGTTACCGAGAAATAACGCACAGCTTGATATATAGTGTACTATTTTGACAAGTAAAGCCATGTCTCCACCGGCAAGGCGGCCTTTTTCGTATTTAATGAAATTATAAATAAAACGTGTTTATTGTGTTTTATTATCCGCGTCGTTTGTCAAAACGCGGCTGGTCTTTTTGCAACCCGCACGGCCACGTTACATTTTGCACGCAAAATTACGAAACATTTGTTTGCTTTGCGTCTCGCTAAGTACGAGAAAATGTTTATCTTGATACGGTACTTAATTTCGAATGTAGTTCTATTATTTTTCATCCGCGATTATACCGACGATAAACGCAAGCCACCAATGAGGAATCAAATTTTTTTGCCGCGTGTATAGAAGACGCTCCTACCATAATGAAGTTGATATATTCACTAACTGAGATGTAAAGCCGGGATTATTTTGATTATCATATGAAATCCCATACCCTGGAACGAAAATGAAAAAAATAACGTTCAACGTTAAAATGTCTGCTTTGTTTTCCCGCAATCGCAACTTATTAGCTGCTGTCACAAACATCGCGAATACCATTCGTCTTTTCAATTCACCCTTTTTTCTTTTTCTTTTATTAGTCCCCGTATTAAAGTTACGGGCGTGCAGAAAATATCGAATGGGTGCGGAAGGGTATTACGCAAAAGAGTAACAGCCTTTAACTGCCGATATATCCTTAAACAAAACTCGCCTTTCTAATATTTTCCGTGGCTGGATCTTAAATGCACGCTGATCTAGTTTTGCGCCGCGTATCACACACACACACACAACTGGCCTTTATTAATTTACAGGAATTAATCGATTACGATTCTTGGGTGCACTAGATTTGATTTTTTTCAAATAAAAGAAAAATTACAAAAAATATTTTACGTACAATTTACATACATGTGGTGCTATCGTACGTCTAGTAAAAGTAACTACATTAAAAATAGGGGTTACTAACAGGTGTTTTAGATCTATGATACACATTTTCTGCACTTTTTAAAGGCATTGGTTTAAGATAGGCAGGCAATTTTCAGTTTCCCCTACGTCAGAAATCCCATAAAGGTATATTACAATGACAATACTGCATTACTACATATTTTTCTACACTCTACTCTAAAGTGCCTAATTATGCAAGGACCAAGCGTGCGGAAAGTGCCATTTGTAGGCGTCATTTTAGTCGTTGGATTGGGAGGGATCGGAGATCTGTCGGTGACGTCACACGTCGGGCAGTGAATATATTCGTTGTGTTTGGCAAAAATTTATCCGAAAACTAATGATATATAGAGATATATAGAGTTATTTATATATAGATGTTTAATTCTTTATCCGTATGCACTAAGTATTTTACATAAAATATTATTTATGGATTTAAATATTTTTTGTACATTTTATGCACCTACTAAAACAGTAACCAAGTTTAATTTGACAACAGTTCATAAAGTAGAGTCTAATTATGGGCCCTTATATTGCAGCAATAAAAATTAAGATAAATTCCTGTAATATTGAAGCGAATTACACAACAAAAATATATTTTAAAAAGCGTGCAAATATTTCATTGCTAAAATCATTCAACCAGATGTGAGAGGTGCTTCATTCGCTGTGAAATTATCATATTTTAATAGGTGGATTTATCGAACCGTTTAATTTAAAGTATAAAAAATCTTTTTTTGAATAAAATTTACGACGACAATTTCGCATTTTATAGTTCGATTTAGTGGTATTTCGCGGACCAAGAAATCGTGGCCACGCATTCAACTGGAAGAAAAAATTGCCTCTTGACACGTTCGTTTACGTAAGCGCGAGACATATAATAATGAAAGCGAGCGATGTGGTTCAACGATTTTGGTTAAGTAACATAAACGAGCTTTTTTGAATGTGTCCCTCCACGATCAGAAACACACTTCCCTGTTTAATATGGGATTAATGAGGCTCGACTGGTACGCGAATAATATAGCCACGGGGTGGCTTTACCGTATGCTTGTCCCAGAATTATGAGAGAATAAAAATCGATATAAGCCTTGATTTTATCTTCTTTGACCTGCTGCGAACATATTTCTACAAAATATTATCTGGGGCGATTCGCTAATAATTGCATAAGATCTCTAAATCATTTAGATAAGATGTATTTTTTTTATGTTTTCTTCTTTTATTGAGGCTCAAATTTGTCAAATTCGTTGAGTATTTTATATATTTTTGAATGTATTATCTAATTTCTGAAGTAAATGTTTACCTTACTGTGTAGTTTTTTGAAAAAAAAAATAGATTTAATAGTTCCAGGAAAATAAAGTGCGTTTTATGACCTAAAACACAATGACATAAGTAATCTATATAATTATGTTATTTTTAAACAACATTTTTAATAAAAAGTATACAAAAACAGTTGTTTTTGTAAGTTGTGGATTGTTTTTGGTCACTTTTTTTTATTATATCGGTTTCGTTTTCAATATCGTGAAATTTTTTCAAAGGTTTCTAATTCTTAAAACGGAAATCGTAATTGTAGTTATGACTACGGCGAAGAATGAGGGGATGATTTAAAATACCTAGTCGCGTTAAAAATCTCTATCGCCGATGTATTATGTAAATAAAACAAAAATAAAGGTTATGCAGAATTGCAAATTCATTTAATTACTTTCACATTTCAATCGGCGTTTAGTCCGCCAAACGACGATTAATTAGAATGAAATTAACGATCTGGCAACGTCTGGACGGTTGCGGAAGAATGCATAAACGAATTAATTTTGATATGATGCACTGACATTTATTTAATTTTAGATTACGAAGATCTATATCTCTAAATGGATTACAACCGATTTTTGCTGCTTCCTGACGTGTATCCATATTAAATTTAATCGTTTTCAGGAGCCACCCGACCCTTTCGTGTTTAGCTTGCTGAATGATGCATCATCGCCCACCGTTTTTTGATCTTTAACATTTAAAGCCGGTTGCATAATTGTATTACGCGTCTTCTAGTTTTTTTTTTCTGTTTGTTTATATTCGCCGCGTTGCTTTTATCGCCGTGCAATCGTTGATCGTTATTTGTTAATTGAAACGGGGATAAAAACGCAAAGTATCTAACAAATGCCAATAAACGTTTTTATCCGTTGCAAATAATTGCCCCAATTAAAAGGGGAAAATAAAAAGAAAATGAAGTCGACCAATAGATCTAATTAAATCAATAAAGCAGTTAAAGCACGAAAAACCAGATGTACCGGAGTCGGATCTCGATCGGACTTTGAAAACAATCGAATTCGAATCATAAATTTTCCACCGAAGGTATTTTCTCTTTTTTTCTTCAGTTCCCCGGTCTTAAATTTAATCGCCAGGAACAAAAAAAAAAGCAGCCGCCCGATTAGGAACAAGAAAAGGAGACATGGATAAGTGAATTTGATGAAATTCTCGGCTTTATCAGCAATTGAATGCAAATTTAGATGCGTCGCGGGTAAAAGTAAAAGTCGGGCTGGCGTTAAAGTGCATCCTGCTGCTTTCCGACAGATCTCCTGTTAACGATTATTATTATTATCATTTACCTGAAACCGTCGAAACCATCATCCGATCCGTTTACCGTCAAAACGGGTGCTCTCGCATACGCTTTGGCTACCCTCCTGTTTCGCTCCAATACGATCACTTTTGCCCAAATTTCGTCGTCAATTTGCGTCCATTTGTCCAGAACTTCTTGTATGTGATCCTGAAATAACATTAGAACGGCATTAATTGGTGTCTTAATTTCGTTCAAAATGATTACTGCTTTTAACAATAGTTGTTAAAAAGTGAGATGATTTCCCATAATCACATAACCGAATACGTAACCGGCATTACACCACGGTTGCGTTTTTTTTTTAATAATTACACGAGTTATTTTGCGATTCGTATAGTTTCGCAACATTTTGTTTTTACGTCGTCGGTTGAAAATTTGTTTTCGGACAAGCAAACAGCATGTTGGTATTTAAAGAACAAATATAATGGCAATTTAATCCTTAAACTGGAGCGACGGCGGGGATTTAAGTGCGATTCTTAAGCAAAAACCTTTCTATTTGCCTTCAGCATAAATAAATCGCTGAATTCTACCACCTTCGCTTTACGCACGACTTAGGAGCCGGGCATTTTTCCTTTAAATATCCGCCGTTCAATTTGCTACGTCAGCTGGAATTGCTACGTTCGGGTGGGTCATTATTTCCAACTTGCGTAATGTTTTCTTAGCAAGCAAATGTTTGTTTTAATGCGCAATAATGGGGAACTTGACCAAAAATTAAAATACTATATTTTATTGAGGCTAGCACTATTTTGAATGCAATTTTATAGGACATTTCAATTCCTACGTGTAAGTTCCCTAATCGAAAAACAACCGGTTGTTTTTCGATTTTTCTATAATTTAAGCCCAATTTTCCGTCCAAGTTTCGTAATTTTTAAATCAATTTAATTTAAGCCTTCTGCACCGGGTTAAGCCCGCGTGGAATGCATGCAAACTTTATAAATAACGTTTTGTTGGCCAGTTCCCAACGCAAATTAAAATAACGATTATTTCTAAGAACGCTGTGGAGGCCTCTTTAAGATTTCACTTTTCTTTTGTTTTTCGATTTTTATCAGAGATACGAAATCAAACTTAATCATATGTTGGGTGGTATACGCAGGCGAACTAAAGGTGTCCATATATGGGCGAACCCCGTGCCTTTTCGTATAAAATTGGCCCGGTCGCATTACAGGAACGACATATATGTAGATTTCAGTCGGGTAAGTTATGAAAATGCTGTTTTTGATTATGATCTGCTCGAAATCAAGAAGGAAAACCAATTATTTGTCCAAGAATTAGCGGTTTTAAGTTCATATATGCATTTTTAAGGTAGATTTCGGTACAATAACACACCAAAAAGCAGATTCTGAGTGGAATCTAATCGAAATCTTCAACTATTTAACCCAGAAAGGGCGGTTTTAAGTCGATAAACGTCGAAGATGCCGACTTTAATTAGTATTTGAACGACATTGACACGAAAACATAACTGTTTGGATGAAAAAATGACAGTTTAAGGTGACATCTGCAGTTTTGGTGCGGTTTTAGATACGATACGTGTGGGAAGAGGCGGTTTTGAATGGAATCTGTTTGAAATGAATAATAAAAACTTGCTATCAATCCAAAAAAGTGGGTTTTAAGTAGTAATCTGCAGTTTTAACGTAGATTTCAGTTCGGTAAGTTAAGAAAATGCTGTTTTTGACTATGATCTGCTCGAAATCAAGAGGGAAAACCAATTATTTGTCCCAGAAATAGGACTTTTAAATTCATATCTGCATTTTTAAGGAAGACTTCGGTCCATTAAGAGGTGACAAAGCACATTCTGACTAGAACCTAATCGAAATCGGCAATTATTTGACCCAAAAAGGGCGGTTTTAATTCGACATCTGCTGGTTTATTAATGTTTTCGTTACAATAAAGGTCGAAGATGCCGATTTTGACTAGTACTTGAACGATATTGACAGGAAAAGGTAACTGTTTGGATCAAAAAATGACAGTTTAAGCCGTTACCTGCAGGTTTGATGCGGTTTTAGATACGATGTTTTTCTGAAGAGCCGATTTTGACTGGATCTCTTAGAAATGAAGAAGGAAAACCTACTATCAATCCAAGAAAGTGGGGTTTTAAGAAGTTATCTGCAGCCTTAAGGTATATTTCAGTTCGGCAAGTTGTGAAAATGCTGGTTTTGACTATAATCTGTTCGAAGTCAAGAGAGAAAACCAATTATTTGTCCCAGAAATAGGGGTTTTAAGTTCATATCTGCATTTTTAAAACAAAATTAATGCTTGAACTGAAAGCAAAAATGTTACGACTCGCGTTAAAGGAATAACCTTCAATTGATATAATGATTCTGCAAACCATTGGATTTAACACAATTCAATCAAATTGTACCCACAAATTAATTTTTTTAAAATATAAATTAGCACCGTCCGCGTTAACAAATTGCCTATCATCGTTTGCTATTAACAATATTTCAATGATTCGTTTGTCAAAATTATATAATTGATAATTTCATCATCGATCTACCTCCCACATATGGGATGCATTGTTTATGTTTTGATTTGGCTAATAACGATTCATTTGCACAGGCAGTTGCAAAAAAAATAATACGTATTGTGCGTTAAATATGGCAAAAACTAATTTATTTGTTGTGCAATATTTTTTCCTTTACATAACCACGTAAAACTTATTGCGAGATACCGGTGCAAAGAAAACAACCCAAAAAATTAATAGAGAGAACGGCTTAAAAAAAACGCGTTTCCGCATCAGTTAACAGTAACTTTTATTGTAGATTTGCGCACTTCAGTATATAATAATTAGAACAAAAATTTGTAATTATTTTTAACAGTTTTTGGCGGATTGTGGTCAATATAAGAACAATTTCTCTCGACTTTCGCCGACAACCGAGCAATTTTTCAACTATTAAGTGTAACTCGTTCGTTTCCATTTTCTCTAAGTTTGCGTTTTCCATTTTACATTGTCCGCACAAAATGTATACATCGTCGATCTAAAGAAACGCAGACAATTCTAATAACCTAGTTTAACGTACAGTTAGGAAGTCAGGAACGATTATCCAGTAGTTAAACCAGCTTTAGAATCCCGTCTTAGTTTGCCTTAACCGCCGTTGCTTAATAAAATGTAAGTCAGCAGTATCGTTCTGCACTCGAACGCTTTTACGCTGAACGTCCATAAACCGCGAAGATGACATTTTATAGTTGTACTGCTCAGTGAGTATATATTTGTAACAAAGCAATCGCAAATATTTTAGCACGCGATGGTCTGCCTGTAATTTGTTGGATAACACTTCTTTTATGTGAAAATCTCTTCTTTTTTTGTATTTGGGGGACTTGACGTTTAGGAAATAACGGTCTTTGGTATGAAAACGGTTTGTTGGGTCTTTGTAATAGCAACATCCAAAAATACATTTTCGCTTTTAAAGAGTCCTTTTATTCACAAAAGAAATAAGAAATCGGGGTTAAAAATTCCCCTATATTGGCGTAAGCTTTATTTCACATTAAAAAAAAATAATTTCTTACAAAGCATATCCATATTTGTTATTTTTTGGATAATGTTTAACGAAACCTTAGCAACACATTTTGTTAACCTATAATAAATTGTAAAATGTCTCATTTATCTTTGCTTTTGAATCCATGCTCTGTGTATGGTGTGTCGGTCAAAAACACCGGCCATGTCCAGCACTGGCAACATTGTTCCATCCGATCCATCCATACTTGCGTCACGTTAAAATGTAAACAATACTCTCTCGATTACATATCTGTGGAAAAGTCGAAGTCGATTCCTTAAAAATTTTCATTTTCTTTTTATTCTGAGTATTATTTTTGTTTTCGTGACATATGGTGTTGTCTGCTATATAAATAAACAGCAACAACAGAATCATTCTCTCCAATCAATCAATATCACTAACCAAAACCAAAAACGTTGTTTTCAATGTTTCAATGTTTCGATACCCCCAAACTTATTTCTATGTATTTATATTGTTAACATATTTGGCAAACATTTTATAGGAAAATTATATTCTGTTTTAGAAAGATTTCAAGTTGCTGTGGATGCTGTTGCCCCCATATTCTCCATGGGTTTCTTTTTAATTTTTTGTACGCAGTTTAGATGAAGTCGACAAATACGTAGTCAAAAATATCAACCGAAGCAATAAAAATGTTTTCTCTTAAATAGGTTTTATGTCGAAAATCTTTATATTCGTATAAAATAGTTTTCGGGTGCATATTTTCGCGTAAACGAAAAGAATGTGGTGATGTTTCCGTATTTATGAACAATTTAAAACGGTAAAGCAAAGTTTTGTGCAGTAACTTGTCAACGAAAGAATGTTGAAAATTATATACGACCGGGACGTTAAAGAAAATTTTTGTAGATTGCAATGTCTGATCAAAACGCAGTGCCTAGGATTACGATTCAAATATTTCTCAGAACAGGTTGGATTTATGATTTGGAAAGGTACGGGGTATATTTTCAAGCAGCATACGCTTGTACACACTCACAGACGCACCAATATTTTGTAAATTGTAATAAATTCCTAAAAAAATTACAAAATGGTATATGGTATATGTGCGTGATCTACGGGAAGGCGTAGTTCGTTAATTAATGTGCTTAATGGATATTCGAATGTCCACGTTCTAGAAATTACTATTTATTTTCAAAAAAACTTTTGTTATAATCTTATAAACTTGAGCCTAAGAAAAAGCTGTCTGTTTTTGAACCTTCAAGGAAAATTTTCTCATTTTTACATTTACATTTACGTCAGATCTTTATTACTTTATACATGATATATCACTTGTACAGTCATTGTTATAACTGTTACATAAATTCTTTGAAAGGTGTATCGAAAATTTCAACTTTTTACAAATCGCAACAATTAGATCGGAGCTAATGTTTTCGAAAAAATATTAAGGAAATTAATATCCTCAAAAAACGCTAAAGATGGTCGTTAAAGTGTCATATTTGCTCCAATCCGTCATCGTCAGCAAACCATTCTCTAAACGTAACTCCGCTAAGGGGTCCATATTTCGATCTATATTATTAAATTAAAATTATTTAAATTCACTTCATATCATTTATTATCAACTAAAATAAAATCGCTCCATGTTAACGTTAAATAATGTTAAGTCATAGTGTTGCATAACATATACCGGGCGTTACCGATTCGTGT